ACTACCAACAGATTTTATTTTCTTCTTTAAAATGGGGAAGTGTCACAAATAGAAGGAAATTAATGAGACACAACTAAATGCAACATGGGACCCTGGACAGACCCAGGAACAGAAAATGAACACTAGAGGTAAAACTGGTGAAATTTCAGTAAGGTCAGTCATTTACTATTAAGTATTACCCTTGGGTATTGTACCAATGTTAATTTCCTGGTTTTCATTGTTGTTATAATTCTCTCAGTTGTTACTATTAGGGAAAGCTGGGTGAAAGATGAATGTGAAAACCCCTGTACTGTTCTTGCAACTTTTCTGTTAGTCTAAAATTATTTCAAATTAGAAGTTCAGGGTGCCTGGGTGGCTCAGTCGGTTAAGTCCGACACTTGATCTCAGCTCAGGTCTTGACCTCAGGGTCGTGAGTTCAGGCCCGGCATTGGGCTCCATTGGGCTCCATACTTTTAAGCCTACTTAAAAAAGAAAAAGTTAAAAGAAAAAAGTTTAAAATGATCTATCTCTGTTTACTCAAGGATTCTCTAAAATAATCATTTTAATCTTTTTGGAGTTCAACCAACTCTTTGATGAAAAGTAAGTCCTATCTGTTCCAAAAGTTCACTTATGCCATTTTGCAAGTTCAGAGACCCATGTGGTGCATATCCATGGGCCCCCAGTGAAGAACCCTGGCTCCCAGCGCTGTAGCTGGGACTTGGGTATAGCAGGAAGTGACATGCAACAGATAAGCTGAGCAGGAACAACTTCTAGCTCTCACCTGCAGCCCCGTTCATGCCTTCATCATCTGGCTGCCCAGGAGGCCTTCCTACAAAATGGGCTGACATCATGCTCCCCCTTAACATCTTCTCAGAAGGGTCATTATGACAGGACTACACTCACCCACACAACAAAGGGCACCTCCTCTTTCTGAGCCAAGCAGCACCATAAATATATCCTAAAGGGATCCCGAAAGGCAGCCCCACTAAGTGCACCAAACAGAATAATCAGCTCTGGGCATTAGAGCCTCAGCAGGAAAGGAAGTCCTGGCCCCTAGCGCTGGAAATAGATGCAAATATATACTAAGTGTGGGGCATGAATCCCCACTCCAAACTTCCCCTCCCATCTTCTGCTTTGTAAGCAACTCCACCAAAAAACTGAATGAAGAAAGGTGTAACCAGTTACATGGTAGAAATAAATGGCAAGAATAAAAATCTGTCTGAACCCTGCACAAATAGTTTCCACAGAGATGAATGATTTAGATTTGAATAGCTGCAAGAGTTAAAAAGTTACAAAAGCTAAGGTGCACACACTAGACATTATTAATGCCAACTATTAGTATCAGGTAAGAATAATGAGATCAAACACAAGACATATTTGCTCAAAGGGACAGAGCAGCTGCAGAGAACAGGAATGGCTTGTACAAGGAGAGACCAGGATGACTTGCAGCCCTGAGAATTAGCTAGCAAATCAAGAGACACTTGGATGGCTATAGCTGAGAATTCAACCTTTCCAAAGAATTGCACTAACACACAGATCCCTTTCTTTCTGGTAGATTCAGCTCCTCAAGTCTGGCCACTGGGCAAAAAGGCCTGAGAGACAGCCAGCTTTCTGCCAAGCACTGGCCTCCATGATGGACATAGTGGGATGGTTTTAGAGGGATGGGAAGGCTGAGTAGTTCAGTGAATGTACAGAATAGTGGTATGGAAGACATAAATGTTGAAAATGACTAAATGGGCTTGCATTTCTGACAGGGACTAAAATAAACAGACTTGAAACATAATGAAAATTATTCTGATAAACTCTTCCAGGAGGGCAGATTCTACCACTCTAGACCCAAAGACTGTCCAGAACTATGGCAGCAAGTGAAGGACTAGAGCTTTCCTTGAGCATCATGCCATCTCATGGAAACTTCTGGGGCAGCAACTCCCTTCAAAGAAACCAGAAGTCCTTACCAAGTCAATAATTCACTTTACAAACTTAGATGCTGCGTCTTTCATTCCACATTTAGGATACAGTTATTTGATTTTTTTTTTCCTGGAGAAAATATTCTAGATGTAAAATGCACATTTTTAGGACTTTTTGATACACATTACCAAAAGTTTAATCAGAATGACTGTCTCAATTTACACATGGATGAAAATGTCCATTACCCTAGTCCCTTCCACAATTTTTGCCATTCAGTAGTTAGGGAAAAAAATTTCCTGTTTCTCCTGGCATTTTAAAAAGATTAATAGCAAATCTGAGTATTTTCTTTAATTCTATTTTTTTCTTTTGTGAGTTGCTGTCCTTTGCCAAATTTCTATTGAAATGTTTTTGTATGTTATCTTTAAATATGACAGTTATAATATTTTCCCAGCTTGTCATATGTTAACTTCATAAATGGTGTTGACACACAGAAGTGTTGGATTTTAATGCAGTCAAATCCAGCAATCTTATTCTTTATTGTTTCTACCTTTGTTATCATGGTTAGGAAAGCCATTCCTATGCCAAGATTATAAAAGTATTAAGCCATACATTCTTCTGGGCCTTTTGTGGATCTGGGTTTTACATTTTACATTTAATCTATCTAGAGGCTATCTTGGCTACAGTAAGGTAAACATTTAAATTTATTTCTTTCCCAAACGGTTAGCCTTTTGTCATAACACCATTTATTGAATTATCTGTCCTTGCCTGATGTTTTGAAATACATGCAAAGTGGAGGAATAGTGCTTTGGCAATTTTTCAAATCTACACTACTGACACCATCACCCTGCCCCCCCCACCTCCTGTTGAGTGTGGGCCTTAAATTGCTGGTGGTGGTTGAAGACTGGGCCCCATTTAGAATCTGGGTGAAGGCTGCTCAATGTCTGTCTAGGGAGCATTAGGTCTCATCAACTGCTGTCCTGCTTTCTCCCCATGTCGATTCAATATGCCCACTTTCCTGAGACCCCTTAAGAGAATTTATGCATATTTGTGTGAGAAAAGTAACTACAAGTCCCCTTTTACAGCCACCTTTTCCCACCAAAGCTTTGTCATCTACTTGTCCTAATGTCCACAGCTGATCCTGACCTCAACAGAACCAATATGCCCGGAATGACTTCTAGGCACCTTGTGCTGTTTACCAGCAGGAGAAATGACTCCTGGGGTTTGGGAGGTGACACACACAGCCCTACTGACACAGCCTTGGGAGAGAAGAGAGCAGAGACACTCATACAGCACTCACGAGGATTGGCCTTTGCTGTGTGCTTCCTGGGCTTTGAGAAAGTAAAAGTATCTGGCTGTTCAGCAAGGAGAGAGAGAATAGTGATTGTGCCCCATCCCCCTGGTGTCCTACCCCTTTCTCTCCCTGACTCTGGAATGAATGACAGAAGGAGGCACCACAGGGAGCTCCGCAGTGGTGCTGAGGGGGCTTTGGGGGGAGAGGGGGGCATCAGATCAGTTTCCACTGCACACTCATGGACCTCTCTGTGAGGCAGCTGCCAGCCCAGGTTTTAAGAAAGGTGGTGTGTTTGTTTCCCAGCTAGACTCTCAGCTCCCTTCCTAGGAGAAGGGAGTGTGTCTTGTTCACATCTATGTCCCCAAACCCAGCACAGTACCTGACACTTAAAACGGGCTCAGCACATACAGATTCAATTGAACTTAAGTAATGATGTGTTATTAGTAATAGTAATGACTAACATTTAAGAACCAACTTATTACTTACACTTCGTATACTCTGTGAAATTAATTTTTTTGTTCTGTTTTGCTTAACAAGTGGACAAGAACAGAGCAAGAGGAAATTTGCTTTATGAAGCCCTCTATTCAAGAGGCCAAACCAATCTCCAAGTGAGAGCTCTGGAGCAGGGAGCCTGAAGAGAAGTACAGTGAGCAAAAGAGCCCCAGGAAAAAGGACAGCAATGGTGATTTTAAGGAGGAAGGAGCCCCAGGCAACAGCAGCCTCAGTCATCAGGAACTTTAAAGCCATTCTTCCCTGTCCAAATTCCCTCTCAGGGAGAGGCCAGCATCCTATAAAAATGCCTTTGAAGGAGGCTGAGGGCATTTTTAAAGAATCTTTATCTTACAGATGCTCAAAAGCAACCTTACCCCCTCGCAATATCACACAACAGGACTAAGGCCTTGACCACCTGTGTTTGAGTGGCTCCTCAGTGATGCCCCATGTGCTGAGTGATTTTCAGGGCTTACAATTTCTCCATGTTTCAATCACATCTCCAGTTAAGAAGAAAAACTTAATTTGTTTCCCTAGAAAATACTGTTTTCTCTCCATAATTCATAGGGTACATGAAGAACGACTTTTTCTGGGTTCACTCACATATCTGCCTTTACTCTGAAGGAATAGAATGGGGGTCGCCTGGCCAGAACCCTGCTCTCCCAAGAAACTCACCTGTCCTGTCACCTGACCATACCCTGGGCTCACCACCAGGGTAAGAAGCCTAACCAGAGCCCCGCAACTAGCCAGCTAGTCAGAGGTGGAGCCGACGTGCAAATTCAAAACAAGTATCTTAGTAAAGAGATCTGAAAGGAATAGCTCTACACCAGACAAAAGGATCCTCCTCCCAGCCCCTCGAAATTCTCTGGTTGTGTCAAATTCTTCCCCACAGTCTCTGCTTGAAAGATTTGCTCCTAGCTTCAGAGCCTTAACTACAGAACACTAAGTCTTTGCTCAAGCAGCGGCTCAACACATAACCCCTAAGCACCCAAGGCTTTTCTCCGCCAAGACTTTGTTTCCTTCCACGAAACCCTCAAGAACCCTGGATTCCCGATTTCCTGGCCCAGCGGATTGCTTTACCAGGCTGCTGCTATTCCAGACCTAGCTAATCTGAGCCGCAGCGTGGCTCCCTCACTCCCCGGACTACGTCGGCGGGCAAGGGCGCCTCCGCCTAGAAGCCGAAGGGGATTCGACAGAGGGCCCCGCCCGGTCGGGACCCTCAGAGCCCGAGCAGCAGCGCGCGCCGCGGAACTACGTTTCCCACAGTGCTCCGAGAAGCCCGGACGGCCAAGGCCCGGGACCCGGCGGGCGGGCTCGCGCGCAGCCTCTTGGGAGTTGTAGTTCGATCCGCTCGCGCCGGCGCTGCTGTGGGCTCGGCGCCGGCCTTTGTCTGTCTGCGGGCGCGCGCCGCTGCGGTGAGTGAGGCCGCCGGCCGGGTCAGTGAGCCCGGCTAGGCGGGGCCGCGTGAGCGGGCCGCCGCCCCCGGGCGCTCCATGGCCCCCGCGGCCCTGAGCAGGCCTGGCTGGCCTGAGCCCCGAGGGAGGCCACCCGCGAGGGGAGAGGCGAGCGGCCCGCAGAGAAGGGTCCAGCTGGACCGGAGAGCGGGGTGCTGAGGTCCAGCACGCAGGGCGGGCCCGGGGGAGCCTGAGGCGGGAGGGTAGAGTGTGCCCGGGGGAGCAGGGGCCCCTCCGACCTCCGCTCCGCAGGACAGAGCATGGGGGAAGGCCCCGCACCCTGGAGACGCGGGAGGGGGAGGCCACAGGCAGGTGTGCCCAGGGGCCTGCAGTGAGGATTTCACAACACGGTCGGGGGTGAAAATGCGATCTCTCTAGGGAGGGGGAATGGGAGAAAGGACAGACTTGTCAGGGTGGAGAATGGAAGAAAGGACAAAATGGATTCAGATATGTGGAGAAAATAATCACCCCTACCCTCATCTCCTAAACCTGAGACTGTCGCCCAAGGGGTTCCAGAGACAGCAAAGTTTACCCCCTCTGCTAGGGCTCTCCTGAGGACTCTCAACTTTAAGGCCTTCAGTCTCTAGGTCGTATCAGAGATTCTTCACATTTGGTTCTTTTATTCTCCCAAGAGCTGCCTGAAACGACAGTGTTGTTAACCTATTTAGTTAGTAGGGAAATAGAGCCAGGGCTGTTGGTTAGTTGTCCAAGGTTGTATGGGGGTAGGGGAGATTCAAGGCAAGAATCCAAGTCTCTCCAGACCTAATTCTGAGTTTTTCCAAAGGATAAATAGCCTCTCTGATAGGAAAAGCAATTTTCTATTACTAAAGCCACTTCAAAATCTTCAGGAAATTATTTCCTCAGATTTATGACCTAGGGAGAAAAATAAAACAATCTCCCTTTATTAACCAAGGCAGTTCCTGAGACACAGCTGAGTTGTTACTTGTTGGAAGATCTCATAGCATGTGGAGAGGCAGAGCTATAAATTCTGCCCACTTGTTCTGACCAAACTATTTGCTGGATTCCCCAGGGACCGAGTCCAAACTTGGCAGCAGGTTTCATGCACTTTCAGGGACTCTTGATGGATGTGCAGTTGTGGAAGAGTAACACCTTGAACTAACAAATTACCTGTAGCCTCCTGGCAGTCTCATAGAAGATTCCTTTGTAGCTTCTACTCCAAATTGGAGGTGACACCTCCAGATACAAGTTTAAAATGCCTCTTCAGTCAAAACAAATGTGGCAGAAGGTACAATTGTCAAGACCAAGTGCTTACGTTAACAAAACAATTGTAGCATCACCCTGTTATTTCATTAAATCAGGAGGCCAGCAGTTTGATGAGACATATTTGAGGGAAATAAAGATTATGCACTGAACCACTGCATAAAGTGTACGAATTTTAATAATTAGGGACCTAAAGTAAGAAGAAAATACTCAAAAAAATGTGGAAAAAATAATATGGAGCAAGAGGATTCCTAGGATCTTGAAGAGTAGTAAAGTCTGGTCAAGCACTGTTACATTCTGTCCCATTTTATAAAAAATTCTCACCAGCTCTTTAGTGAAAAGAAATTAGAGAATTGTCTAGTTTAAGGGCATAGACTCTGGATCTCAAAAGTCTTGAATTTGATCCTTTGCCCACCCTGGACTCCTTATTGGCTCTGAGAATTTGGGCAGGTTACTTATCCTAGTTGGAGTGCCTTGGGCTTGGTTTCTGAAGGTCTTCGTTTTCCAAGAATTGACAAGTATTTACACTTAGAATTGGTATTCTCATATCTTGAAGAATAGGAGAGGGGTGGGTCTGGATCTGGAGTCTCCTAAATATTGTTCAAAGGTAAACATATGAGAACTCTTGTCCTTATACCTACGGAGAGCTGGAGGGGGAGAGCTGAAGCCATTTTCATCATAGAACAAATCATGAAGGCTGAAATGTTGGGTTTTTAAATTCTGAATTCCTTTGGAGGTTTGAAGGATAAAAGAGCAAGTGGTTAGGTGGGGGAAGGAAGTGGGAGATCCCAATCACATGCCAAGGCTAAGGTATAAACAGGAGTGACCATTATCTTGGGATTGGCAGGAAGAGATATATGTGTTCTCTGCTTTCCCACCTCATGTTTCCACCTTGACTCACTTATGTGTGGTCATGGTACCATCACTAAAACTTTGCAGTTACATTATAGGTGACTAAGATATACATCACACAATCCAGATTTCTTCCATTTACTCATACCCCAAATTGGAGCTTCTGTTGAGTTTATCCTTCTCACTTATCAATTCTCCTGCCTTTTCCTGTTTGTTTTTGTTGTTCTGTTTTTTGTTGTTTTTTCCTCCTCAGGTGTTCAAGAATAGCCCATGGAAGAATCATATGAAGAAGTGGTGATTAAGGTCATACAGCAGGCGTGGACATGTTTGGATTTCCAACAGCTACCCTGCTGGACTGTCATGGAAGATATGCGCAGAATGTAGCATTTTTCAGTGAGTGAGTCAGTTGATCACTGAGATGCCCTAGTGTCCCTGTACTCAAGCACTGGTCAGCAGGCTGAGGAAGCAGAGGAGACATTCCTTTGGAGGAGTTCACCATTCCTGGGGGTTACAGGGGAAGCCTGCAAGCTAGAATTAGAAATAGCAGTAGAAACAGAGCAAGAGAATGATCTTGATATGGAGATAGTTTTGAGGTAGTCTCTGAGAAAATGAATGAGCAGCTTTACATCTCGGCACAATCACTGAATAAGGGTAAGGCAAGAGAAAATCTTCCTAGGATGACTCCAAGAAAACTGTTAATAGTGATGAATGGACCCATAATTAAAGTGCAGTAGGATGCAGGGCAATATGGATGCAGGTCAATATGGAAAACACTGTCAGCATCTGCACAGAAAGTGAGAGTAACTTCCAAACCAAAATTGATTTCAGTTTCACCATAGCTTAGTAGACTGAAATAGCATGGATATTAAAGGGGAAATTTCCTTGGATCAGATTCTATAATTATCCTAGCTTGATCTGTGGTATCAGACAAATTATTTAACTTCCTTGAGCTCCAGGCTCTTCATCTGTAAAATGGGATAATAAACTCTACCTTGCAGGGTTACTGGGACTAGAGATAACAGATGTAATGTACCAAAGATTCTGATGTATATTTTCTGATGTCATGGAGCTTACTCTACTATCAGGAAAACAGATGGGTGCAGAGATGGATTTCTCATGTATTGGTCTCTTCAGGGCCCTGTACCTACTTTTATACTTTTTCTTAATGGAGTGCCTCCAAAATTTTAAAGTTCTAGGCCCTACACAACCTGGATCCATACCTGTTTTAGAGTCAGATAAAACTTGGGTATGGGGCTCTATTTGATCCTATATATAGTTTTCTTTGTTTTTTGAGCCTGTTTTCTTATCTATAAAATGGAGATAATCATGTCTACCTTACCAGATTCTTTGGCAGGCTAAATTAAACTAAATTTAGAGGCAGTATAATACTGTGGAGCATGCCTGCATTTGCATCCCAACTCTGCACTTAGCTAACTACAAGATCTGTGACAACCTCCCTATGCTCTCACTTCCTTATTTGTAGCAATCTCATAGGATTGTTTTCAGGATTAAATTACCTATGCAAATTTCATAGTATAATGTCTGACACATAATAAGCATTCAAAGCGTTGTTTCTTTTTTCCCTATTCTTCTCACTCAGCATATTGGTGCATCTTACATGACTTCCCTCTCATTTTACCAGATGTGATGACAGAAGCCCACCACAAATATGATCACTCTGAGGCCACAGGATCCTCAAGCTGGGATTTCCAGAATTCTTTCAGAAGAGAGAAGCTGGAACAAAAATCCCCAGATTCTAAGACACTACAGGAAGATTCACCTGGAGTGAGACAGAGGGTCTATGAGTGTCAGGAATGTGGAAAATCCTTCAGGCAAAAGGGTAGTCTAACCTTGCATGAGAGAATCCACACTGGTCAAAAGCCCTTTGAGTGTACCCATTGTGGAAAAAGCTTCAGGGCCAAAGGCAATCTTGTTACACATCAGCGAATACACACAGGAGAGAAGCCCTATCAGTGCAAGGAGTGTGGGAAAAGCTTTAGTCAACGAGGTAGTCTGGCTGTTCATGAAAGACTCCATACTGGACAGAAACCCTATGAGTGTGCTATTTGTCAGAGAAGCTTCAGGAATCAAAGTAACCTTGCTGTTCATAGAAGAGTTCACAGTGGTGAAAAGCCCTATAGATGTGATCAGTGTGGAAAAGCCTTCAGTCAGAAAGGAAGCTTAATTGTTCACATCAGAGTCCACACAGGCCTGAAACCCTATGCCTGCACACAGTGCAGGAAGAGTTTCCACACCAGGGGCAATTGTATCCTGCATGGCAAAATCCACACAGGAGAGACACCCTATCTGTGTGGCCAGTGTGGGAAAAGCTTCACTCAGAGAGGGAGTCTGGCTGTGCACCAGCGAAGCTGCTCACAAAGACTCACCCTTTGACCACCCTCTTCAAAGGAAGTTCTCTTTATGAATTAAAAGTAAAAAAACCCTCAGATCAAGCAACCTATCCAATTCTATGGAATGAATGGAGACTTTCAGAAAGACCATCATTGGGTAGGGAAAACTGACTTTTCTCCTTTCCCCCAAATGAGTTTGAAAAATAAATGTCTTGTTTATTATCATTATCACATATGTTTCATAATTTGTCAATTTATTTTGACCTAAGTTCCCAAAGTATCTCCATTAATCTAGTGCATACTTGGGAGATTGTTCTATGTATAACAGATACAGATTTTAAATCTGTAGCTGACATCGTTAGTTTTTGTTTTTTAAATCAACCCTTCACGAATCCCAAGGTCTTTTCTTTACATATTCAAATCAATCTTGTATTGGATTCAAGACGGGAAGAATTCATCCCAAAGAGCTTGGTAGCAAATCTCTATCATCTAGAGGTAAATTACATCAAAGGTCTTAGGGTACAGAAATGCTTTAGAAATACTGTGGGTTTGAATAGTGATATAATATTGCTCCCAAAGATACCCTGTTACCATATGAGGATATATACAAGAATGTTGATATCATCCCGATTCAAAATAGTCATAAATTGGACAAAACCCAAAATATCCAACAATAGGTAAGGTAATATATGGTGGTATGTTCATATGACTCAGCAATAAAAAATAATATACAACTGATACATGCAATAATACGAAGAATCTCAGAACTTTACGTTGAGTGAAAGAACACACGCACACCAGGAAAAACTAATCTAATAGAATAGAACTAATAGAATTCAGATAGTGGCTAACTATGAACAGAGGGAACTGGGTAAGGACTGACTTAAAAAGGGCACAAGGCAATCTTATAGAGTGAAAACATGCTCTATACCTTATTTCAGGTGGTGGATGCATGGGTCTGTACAATTGTCAAAATTCATTGAACTCAACAGCTAAGAGTCTATGCATTTTCTTATCTGTATGGTATACTTCAGTAACAATGAGGCAGTTTAAAAATACTGCACACAAGTTCTTTAACACTTATCTCATGAAGAGATGGGGGTCTGTCACTTCCACTTGAGTTTGGGTAGGCTTGTGGCTGCTTCACACACAAAAAAACAGAACTGATGCCATATGATTTCCAAGAATAGGTCTGAAGAGCTCTTTAAAGGTGTGAAAAGTTTCTGCATGATAATCTTGAAACACTTATTCTGGAGAAAATCAGCTGCAATGTAAAAAGTCTATCTTGAGGCCACTATGATGGACAAGCTGTATATAAGTGCTCTAGTTGACAGCTTCAGCTGAGCAACAGACAGCCAGCATCAACTACCAGCCATGTGAGTGAGTTATTGTAGATATCCAGCCAAGTGCAACCTTCAGATGACTGGAGCCCCATATGACATCTGTCCAAAACTGTATGAGAGACCCCCAAGTAAGAACAGCCTTCCAAATTCCTAACACACAAAGTCATTAGAGAAATCAAAAGTTAAGGTTTTATATCACTAAATATTTGTTATTATACAGCAATAATAGAACATAATATATTTTCTAAAAGGATAAGATACTGTGAAAAGAAAAGGAAAAATCTGGGAGAACAACTCGAGATTTACTTACTGATTAAACCAAAACAGGAAATTATGATTCATGATTCATCAGAAAGCTTAAGATTTAAAAGTAAACATTTCTTTTGACAAAACAGAAGGCAAGGTATAGATTAGTTAACCCAAATACAAGTTACGTGAAGAAGTAAATGCTGGTCTCCAGCAGTCCTGCTCTGTAAGAAATTTATTAGATAGATACTTCAGTAACAATGAGGCAGTTTAAAAACACTTCCCACAAGTTCTTTAACACTAATCTCATGAAAAGACGGAGCTCTGTTTCGCTTCCACTTGAATTTGGGTAGGCTGTGACTGCTTCAGACACAAAAAACAGAACTGATGGTACATGACTTCCATGAATAGGTCTGAAGAGCTCTTTAAAGGTGTGAAGTTTCTGCATGATTAGATAGATAGATACATACATATCTATATATAGGTATCTTAGAAACCTGGTTCTGCAGAAATGAGTAAATAAAGAGTAAATAGGTCAGAAAATATAAAAGATCTTTAAAATTATTCTTCCTATTTTTTATACATATATTATTAAATTTCTTTAAAGATTATTGGCTGCTTCTATTAAAGTAACAACAAAACAGAGCTAATTTAAGAGGACAATGTAGAAGATCCTGGGTTCACACAGATACACCTAATCTACAGCTACCTATGGAACAATTTCCTCTAAAAAAAACAAAAACAAAAACCTAAAAACTTGCTGAGTGACTCCTACAGATAACACAAATAAGAAAAAACTCATACTGAAGCTGGTAGGAGAGGCTGAGACAATTGACATAAATCCTACCCCGGGTCCAGCCAACCCGCAATCAGGAGGGAAACCACAACCTGGAGCTTCTTTCTGAGGAGCAAAGAGTTTGAGCCCCACATTGGCTACTCCAAAGTTTTAAGACTTGAGACATGAGTCTCCAAAACAACTAGCTTTGAAAACCAAGAGGATTCATTCATGAGACCCACAAGGCTAGAGTGAACTGAAAAACAGCTCTTAAAGAGTTGTCATGCTTGGACTCACCCCAGGGACCAGCACAGGAGCAGCCAATTGAGAAGCACTCAGACTTCGTGTCAAAGCAGCTTATTTTCTTAAAGTGATGGCCTGAGGCACAGGCATCTTAATTTAACACACACCTAGGGGCCTTGCATCTCGAGGGATGGAAGATGGCTGGCACCATCTATCCATTCTCCCTCTGCCTCACTTCAGCTCACTAGTGTCTCCCAGAAAAGAGCTTATACCCTCCTCTGGCACACCAATTCTTGCAGCTGTGGCCCAGGGGAACAACTCTAGTCACCTAGCTCTGGTAGCTAGCCAATGGGGCTTATGCTCAGGGGTGCACAGGACTGTAACCAATGGAGAAATAAGTTCTTAACTGGCTACCACCCTCAAAGCACAACAAGAGACAACAGACCAAGGCGCTCAGTCTTTCTATGAAAGAGGCCTATTAGCTTATCTCCACAGCTGTGGCCTGAAGGGCAGGATTCTAATTAAACATCCAAGTGAGGGCACACTATAATTCTCTCCGGAGACCTCAGAGGGCAGTCATTATCTTCATTCTCCCTCTGCTGTGCTCCACAGTATTTCCCAGAAACATGCTTCCCACAGTCTCTGGTATGCTGGTTTTTATGGGTGCCATCCAGAGGACACCCCTTAGATTGTCTTTCTCTGGTGACCAACAGGGCTTGTGTTCCTGTATCCCATGGGACTGTAACAAACAGACAATTCTTGGCTGGCTACCAACCCTAAGGCACTGTGCAGAGAGGGGACTGAAACACACCCCCAGTCTTTCTGGGAAAGAGACCTATTTGCTTGTCCTGGAACATCAGCCTGAGGGGCAGGCTTTTGGTTTGGCACACAACTAGGTTCCTACTGAGATACACTAAGGGATGGGTGCCAGTGGATGCCATGTTCACACTATCTCTCTGCCTCACTCCAGGTCACTAGTATCTCCCAGAAGGAAACTTGTATACTTGCCTGGCACTTAAATATAAGTGACTGCCACCCAGGGGACACTTCTAAAGCATCTAGCTTTGGTGGCCAGTGGGACTTACACTTGTGGCCCCACAGGACTATATATATTTGCATAAGTTAGAAGCTACTGCTTGAGCTGAACCTAAGTGCTGATTGATATCCTACTCTTTGGGACACTGACAGGTCTTAGCACACCATCAGCTACTAGGAGTCACTAAAATAAAATAGGCTACTTGGACAATCATGAAGGCTTTAGAGAAAACCAAGAGTTAGGGCAGGGTTGAATGATAAGGTTCATCTAGTTCACAAGTCCACTTCATCAGGACTGGGAAAGGTGGCTGTTTTATCCAGTGCACAGAAACCAACACAGAGAGATGAAAATGAAGAAACAGAGGAATATGTTCCAAATGAAAGAACAAGATAAAACCTCAGAAAAAAAGTCCTTAATGAGACAGAGATAAGTGATTTACCTAATAAAGAGTTCAAAATAATGGTCATAAAGATGCTCACTGAACTTGGGAGAAGAATGCATGAACACAGTGAGAACTTCAAAAAAAGGTACAGAAAATATAAAAAGGAACAAAATAGAAGTCACAGAGATGAAGAATACAAGAAGTGAATGGAAAAATATTGTAGAGGGGTTAAACAGCAGACTAGACAAAGCAGAAGAAAGACTGTGAACTTGAAAACAAGGCAGTAGAACTCACCCAATCAAAGTAGCAAAAGGAAAAAAGAATGAAAAACAGTGAAGGTACCTTAAGGGACTTATGGGACAACATTATGTGGACCAATGTTCACATTATAGGGGTTCTAGAAGGAGAACAAAAAGAGACAATTTACTGGAAGAAATAATGTCTAGAAACTTCCCTAACCTAGGGAAGGAAACATATATCCAGAACCAGGAATCCCAGAGTTCCAAATAAAATGAACACAAAAAGACTCACACCAAGACACATTATAATTAAAGGGTCAAAAGTAAAAGACAAGGAGAGAATCGTAAAAACAACAAGACAAAAACAACTTGTTACATTAAAGGAAACCCCCCATAAAGGTATCAACAGAAACTTTGTATACCAGAAGGAGGTAGCTTAGTATATTCAAAGTACTGAAAGAAAAAAAACTGCCAAGACTATCCTACCCAGAAAAAGAAAAAAAAAGTCCTTCATAATTGAAAGCGGGATAAAGAGTTTTTCAAACCAAAAAAAAAAAAGTTTTCCAGACAAGCAAAAGCTAAAAGGAGTTCATTATCACTAGACCAGCCTTACAAGAAATGTTAAAGGGACTTCTTTAAGCTGAAAAAAAAAAAACAGACACTATTAGTAACAGGAAAACATGAAAGTATAAATCTCATCAATAAGGTAAATAAATATATAGTAAAATTTAGAAAAATCTAATGTTGTAAATGTGGTGGATTAATTGATTATAAAGCAAGTATGAAGGCTAACAGACAAAAGTAGTAAGAATACTATAACTACAATAATTAGTTAAGGGATACACAAAATAAAAAGGTATAAAATGTGACATCAAAAACAAAATGTGGGAGGAGTGAGTAAAATGCAGAGCTTTAGAATACATTCAAACTTAGGTTACATGGGCACCTGGGTGGCTCAGTTGTTAAG